CATCTGAAAACCAAAGTTAATGGATACGCAGAGAAACCTGTGTGATGACTTCTTGCTCTATTAAAACAGCAGTAATGAGACATGAAGTACTGAAGGAGATGAACTTTTCACCTCCATTCCTTCCTGCTGGATGGATGTTCAAAGGCAGATGTTTGTTTGCTTGGAGGATGGTGAGAAAGAAGGTCTTTAGAGCCCAGCACACAACCAAAAGCTTCTAGTGCTGGAGGGAACTGCAGAAAGAAAAACCTTTAATACTTTTATGCTGATATAAACTCTTGAGAAAACTGTGTGGCTGACCAAATAGTTTGTTCTTTATACCAAGTCATTCACCTAGTTCTCGGTAACAAACTGTAAGCTAGAACAGTCTTGGAGAGTCAAAAAAAGCTGCAAACTCAGTTGTTGGTGAAATCCTCTCAGTTCCTTTCTCCTTCACCCTTTTTGCGGCCTCCTGTACTGTCATTTTCTCAATGCATGAATGAAGCCATGTTTTAAAAAAGGAGAACAGGAATTTGCAGACTCCAAAATATTCCCATTTCTGACACAGGAATGGAAAGTGCTTAAAACTGTTTTCCAGAAATAAATGAGCTGTCACTGATCGTGATGATGTCTCAAGTGTACTTTTTCTAAAGGACATAAAGAAGTAATAAAAATACTTTGTCTTTTTAGTGTTAGTCATACGTTCTTTTTGTTCTTTTTCCCCTCCTGTTGTTTTCTGCTTTGGTTTCAATGGGCTGTTTATCCATTTGCTGAGAATAAAACTCGGACTTGTTTTTTTATCCTTTTTTTAAAAATTGTTTTATTTCAGTTCAAACCCATATAATTTTAGATTAAATCAGAAAAGGTTATTCTTTGTGTCTCTTTCTCGTATTTAATATTCAGTGCTTTTACCTTCTCAGTCTCAACCCTTTTCTTGTTTCCTGGCTCATACTGGCACTGCTTTGTTTCCTCCTGTGTGTTTCTGTTCTGATCCCCTTACTTGTTTTTCTACAGATTTGTTAAGACATGGGGGTATTTGCTTTTAAAATGTGTGTGATGGATTGTTTGAGAGGGTGTTCAGATGACAGTAATTTCTAAGTTATCTTAAAAATGAGAGTGGTTTAACAGGCTGGACAGTATAGCTTGCTATCCCTGCTGAAATGGAAATTGCTGTTATTTTTCCTTGGAATTATACCATGATTTGCACTGAATGCCAATGTATGTAACATTAACTGTGGTTTTGCAAACAATGTATGGTAGCGTTAAGTACTCCTTAGGTGGGGAGTGTGAGGTGGTTAATTTTTTTCTGTGAACTTTGTGGTGTTAGCAGAAGTGTTAGCCAGAGATGCACAGAGTTTACCTATGGTTATGAAGTGCTGTTTGCTTTTTTTCCTGCAAACACAAAAGCCAAGTGGGAAGGGATATTTCATAAACTCAGTGCTATTGTGTCCTCTGATCTAAGCCATAAAACAAGAGTAACAGAGACGTTCCCTTTGAACTTGAAATCCCTTTCTAAGCTGCTGATCTAACCGAAGTGAGAGGGGGAGACTATACCAGCCAGAAAATTTTTCTCTTCTGAATATTCCCCCCCGCCGCCCCTTTTCTTTTTTTAAAGTCCTTAAGCGAGTTTGATGCTGCACCTCTGCCCATAAATTTAAAAAAATATTATCGTAATGTAGGTCAGTGAACTGAAACGCCACTGTACACCATGGGGGATTAAAATCAGAGAGGCAGCCCTCTCCCACTCCTACTAGGTCATATGACAATATAAACAAGAAATGCAAGGAGCCTTCAGCTTTTTCTTGCCCTAATCCTTTGTTTATGCAGCACTTAAACTGACTTTTGGGGTCGTCTCTGTCTGGCATTAAAGCCCTAAAGCTTTTTGAAGTTTCCCTGAAGTTAATAAAATTAGTCTGCCCTCATTGCTAGGCCCCTTGCTGCTGCTTCAGAGCAGACTGCGTATCCCTTGCTGTCTTTGCGGCATTTGGCTTTTTAAGTTAATAATATTTTATAACAAAAAAAAGTGTTTTGAGAGAAAAACAGAAAGATCTCCCAAAAGGCTGTTCAGCTAATGGGCAAAGTGATTGCCATTGTAGATGTTCTGAGAACTCAAAGGGGATTAACTTAAAATCCACCGATTGGAGGTAAATTGCTGGTAAAGTAATTGGAAGTGTTGAGTTTCAGTTTGAGAGAACAACATGCATTTCTGTGCCTCTTTACAAAGCAAGACTAGAACAAAAATTTAATTTTTCTTTTTATTTTTCTAACATGGTCTTAAACTTGAGAAAATGAGGTTTGCTTTATAGGAATTCTCTCCTTCATCCGTTTATTTTACTGCAAAGACTGATCAGTTATCTTGGTTCTTGTTATGTCAGGCATTCTCTTATTATTTAGTCATCTTCAGGGATAAATTTGTGATAGGCAAACTGGAGGGGACAGATGACACAGGATGGGATGTATAGTATTTAGTGTACGAGACTGAAACTTCAGGTCATAAAGTTTTTATTCCAGGCAGCCACTTGAGCAAGTCACTGATCACTTACTATCTCAGCACTGCTAAAGCAGTTGTTTTCCAATGGCCTATAGAGATGCCCAAGGAACAATGGTGATATGGACAGAACATATCAATCAGCTAAAGGACGCATTTTTTAACATGTTGACCATTGCAGTGAGAGGAACGGTGCAGCTGGAGCCTTTGGTTACTTTCCTAAACTGTGTGTGCAAAAGCAAGACCCTAAAAAAGCACACTTACTTTTAAAAGATGAGTGATTTTAAAATCAAAAGGTGTTAAGTGAGTATGGCATACCTAAATGGTGATAGATTTTGTTGCTGTTTATAATCACACAATTGTAGGTTGTCATTACTAGTTTACTCAAAGATACGTGATGCCTGTAACACTTGTTCACAGAAATCATTCTTAGTAGAGCCTCCCCAGCAAGCCTGTTGGGGTGGTGGTGGTGGGGGGTGGACCTGAACCATGCTAGCCTAGTCTGATTGCTCACCCTGTAATTCCATTTTTAATTAAGTTAAAGGTAACTTTGAAGTGCTCTTGGAAAAATAGAAGATGTTTATGTTGTCTTTTAAAGTTGGCTTCCTGTGCCATTTTGGGGGTGATAACTACAAAAATAATAGATACATGGAAGATCCTCACTGGAGTGTAAGAGACTGTATTTCAAACACAGAGGTAAGAGGCATGTAGCCAGCGGTGGAGAAGAGGGATATTCAACTTTGAAATTCTTGATTTAGGAATAAAAGATTTATAGAAAGAAGTAATATTTTTATTTCACCAGCTAATGCAGGTGGAAAAATGAAGAAGGTTTTGAGAATGTAAGTGCTTTTTCAGGTTAACAGCTTCTTTTTCCGCTAGTCTTCTATTTCAGACCTTAAGAAAGGCAAGTGTGCCTGAAAGCTTATCTTCACCCTTTACCACCACCTATTATCAGTGGCCCTAGTAAGAGACATTATTCAGTTTTAAATTTAAGCCAGAGGTTGCCAAGCAGTGATACTGCCGTTTAATGGTTCACAAGCTATTTTGAAGCAGTGCTTGTTGAGGGGATGGGAGAGGAGAGACACACCAGAAAAACCAAAATGTGACCTTTTGGGAAAAGATGAGGAGTGGATGTTTAGACAGCAAAAGTTATTGAGGCATCTGAATGCTTCTGCCTACAGCCTTGACTCCTCACCCAGCTGGGAGCGGAACTGCCTGTGCCTTTGCCATCCCCACGTGAAAGAAGGGAGAAGGGCTGTAGATATTTCTCATCCTGCATGTGCATGTGGTCTTGGACAGGGTGAGGTCCTGCCAGTGGTCTCTAACATTGCACAGTCCTTTCAAGGCTGTTTATAGCTGAGGAAGTAAACCCCATTTAAAATAAAAATTAAATTTCTGATGCTAGATTTACTGTCATACTGAGATTGGCATTAAAATGGAGGCATACATATGTAACAAAATAATAATAGTGCTAGGGGTTTGAGTCTGTATGTGCACTACCCTTTATGGAGGAGGCTTCAAGGAAGGGGAGTAGCTTAATAAACCGTCAATACTTTGAGTCGTCATTTTAAACTGAATAAAGGGGAGTGTTCAAAATTGGTTATAATTCTTTACTGTTCTAAGTCACTTTGATCTCTGAAACCCTTAGGTTTATCTAAAAATTGCTCCTAAGATACGAAGAAGAGCTGCAACTTTTGCCACAAAAAAAAAAGTTGAAGATTTAAGTAATGTCCCCTTATTTCTTATGATAAGTAAATAAACGTTCTTGCCACAGCTACGGGGTAGAGTAACTCCAGGCGTTAGGTATACAAGGATATTCACACCTACAGGATTAGGCTCACTTGACTGCACCTTATACTTTGTAATACTGAAGGGAGGGTTGTTTATCTTGCCTTACCCACCAACCTTACTGCCTCTTGTTCCTGATAGCTTAATTAAGAATTCAACTTGGAATGGTTCTTCCCACTGGGTTACAAACCTTGAAATTAAAATTGGATACAATGGTCATAAGGCTTTTAGTTTAACAAATCAGTGTGTATTTAAACGTGAATATTTAAAAGGCTCGATTTAGAAAATTCTGTCATTTCTTTGGAAGTGTAGCTGTTGGAGTGCAGGTCTGGAGCTAAGAGACAGAGAATGTTTATGTAGGTGATAATGTACTTAGCTGTAGGATAAGTAGTGGAATAAACTTTTTATGAGCATAGGTACTTAAGTGACTTTCATGGAAAGGTTTCAAAGCAGGAAAGATTTTAATTAACTGATCTTTGCAGCATGTTCTGATGCAGGTTTTGTTCTTCCACTATTATAAGAAAGGACGTGAAAGCAAAAATATATCAACTCACAAAACTGTCTGGTTTTAGACACAAATTGCCTTAAACTCAGTGGTTTGGATGACTCATCTAGAGTTTTGTTTGTTTGGGGGTAAATGGTTTTCCAAGGGCACAGTGGTAAAGTCACCAGACTTAGGGTATCTCATAGGTATCATTTTTCTTGTCACTTTAGATTATAGACTCATTAAACCCTATTTCTTTTGCAGGTGATGGATGATTACAGTGTGCTTGGTCGCTCATTGTTTAAAAAGGAAACAAACATCCAGATTTTTGTGGGTCTAAAAGTCAAACTATCTACAGGAGAAGATGGAATAATAGATGGTGGTTTTGGACAAAGTGGCAAATTTAAAATCCGAATTCCAGGTAGGTGCTTATCACCTAACAAATACTAATCTATGTCAAGTGTAGAGGATCTTTCCATATTCCAAGTCTGAATGTTACCATTAGTGTCCTGAAGTTTTGATGTCAGCTCATGCCCAGTTGGACCACTGATGATTTGGTGGATTGTACCTCTTCTAATTAGATGATGGTGGCTGTGACTTACGTGAGACTGAATAGCCTGAAGCCACATGTCCTGTGTCAACAAACTCGGGTGTCATAACGACTTGTTAAGTGTCAGTAACATAGAAATCATGCTCTGCCGAGAAAGGTTTGTGGAAATCTCTCCTGTCTTAATATATGTATGATTTGCTCCAGAGCCCTTCTGAACATATAAAGGAAAGCAAACCTGCAATTGTTTTTACCTGTAGCTACTTATTAAATATAGTATAGCAGATGCAAGTTCCTTAAATTGACTCTGTTCTGCATGTTATTACCTAACTTGCCTTCAAGCAAAAACTGCTTGATAAATGAGTTTTTGGAGATCTTGAGGTTTTTTTCATTGCTTGTGTCTCCTGGTTTTATGATATTATATATTACTGTATTTTTCATCCTTGGTGAATTACAGCGAGGATTTATGCCTCCTTAGGTTAAAACATGGTGAATGATAGGTGCTAGAGTTTATAAGTGTCATTACTGCTTTTTGCTTTTTTTTTTTCTTTCCTCCTTTTAAAGTAGGAAAGTTGTTCTGAGCCTTTTCAAAAGGCAATAGTAGGTGCTGCATTTACCTCAGATTGTGGGATAAGATTTTTAACAATGCTAGTAGTACTTTTGTATTTCTGTGGTGTCTTCAGCCCATTTGTCACTAGTTAACCCTCCGCCCTCTTTAGGGAGATGAGCAAGATTACTTCTGTTGTACAAGCAGAGAAGAGAAATCATGATCTACGACAGCAAACAATCACATAGCAATTGTTCGACAGAGAAAACTGAAGCTTCCTGATTTCTTGCTGAAGACTGACTATATTCCATTTGACTTAAGGCTTGATGCAACTGCACTAATTTTGACCCTCAACAAACTTCCTTTCTTATTCCTATCACGAGACAGGAACTTCCGACTAGACAAAAACCCCTCTGTATTCTATCCTAGCTGTAATTCCAGTTTTGTCACCAAATGCTAGACTTTGCAAATAGGTCTGAGAGCCTAATTAGCAAGCACAGTGTATACTTAAAGAATGAAGTTGCACGAGATAATGTATGTTTTGCATTTTCTAGTGTAGAAAAGCTTTTAAGAATTCACTGAGCTAGTACTTTCAGGTAGGTGATGAAATGATGTGTAAATGACCTTAATGCTGAAAATCAAGGTGATACCTTGCTTAAAAATGTAATGTTCTTAGCAGCTTTTCTCTCCTGGAGGCAAAAAAAATTATGAAAGAGAACAACAGGAGGATGGCATTTTACGTTGCGATTTCCCCATTTTGGATGGTGGAAATGGTTCTTCATGGGATGGGGAGAAGCCTAATAAGGAGTCTTTGTCACCATTGTGGATGTAAGCAGGAACTGTAATTGTGAACCAGCAGTCACGTTAAGAAAATCATACACGGATTTAGAAAATTGCTTTTTGCTTTGTATATTGAGTTCGTGGGAAGAAATTATACCTTTCAGCAAGGTGTTCATTATCTAATCTTGGTTATACTCTTCTGATGTTTAACAGCAGACCATGAACCACAGGACCCTTTATAGTTTGTTCTTTCAATGAGAAGAATACGTACCTCTCTGAGGTAGGCAGGATAGTGCAACTTAGTTTGCTTTGCTTTAGTCTGGGTCAAACTTGGGTACTCTCATTATCTGGAAAGAAGAGACAGTAAGCTAAATAAGCTCAAGCTAGGAGTATCAAACAACATATGACTAGTCAGGGGAAAGAACCACAGAATTTGGAAGGACCCGAAAACCTGTGTTTTTAAGAGTTGCAGAGACTTGTGTGTAGGGGGAGGTCTATTGCTGTGATGCTGTTGAAGTCAACTGCAGTTCACATTCCTTTGTTAGATCAGTGTTGCTTTTTTAATGTGTCTGCATCCTGTTTGTGGGGTTTTGGTTTTTTTATTTTTTTTAAATTTAACGGATCAGACTCTTGTCTCCCTTTGCCCCCATTCTTCAGCCTTGCCTCCCATCATATAGTCTCTCTTACATATTTATTTTGTGAAGAGCTCTTTTTAATTTTTCTGAAGTTATTTCCCCATGATTCCTTCACAAATGTATTAGGGAGTTGAGAGGGAAGGGAAGGAAACGTGCAAGTTGAAAACTGCCTTGGACTGCCTCAGCCTGGTGGTCAGTCAGTCCTCTTGCATTTAAAACCAGTCTTAACCTCTCGAATTGAATAACTTGTTCGGGTAGTTAACCTGATGATAGCTGAGGGCTGGTTTTAGAAACAAACTTCTCCATAGCAATAAAAATGAGGTAGATGTATCGGAGACTTGTGTCCTGCCTACCTCAGGTACTAGCTGACCGTGGCACATTGTAGGCTGTTACATGTCCTGCTGGTACCAACAGCCTCCAGCACCGTGCCCGCTCACACGAGCAAGTGTTGGGCTGCGCACAAGAGCTGTTCCGTAGTCACTTGGAAATGTCTTGCATTTGCCTGTAGATCTCAGCCTGGGAACATTGTCTTACGTCGTCTGTGGGCTGAAACTTGGCAGTCCTCATGACTGGGAATGGCAGAACATGGATCTGTTTCTTATTCTGGCACTGTTTGTGTGCAGCAATAAGTCAGATACTTCTCTCTGCTCTTCTGCGCTGTGATGTGGGGATAATTACTATCCATTCTGGAAAGAAAAAAAAAATAAAATCTCTGATTTAGATTTATTCCAGGCTTGGAGCATTAATATTTCTTGAAAAGGCTTAATTATCTTTCTTTAGAGTACAAAAAACACATCTAGAGTACAGCATGCAATTGGAAGTTCCTCAGACGCTGAAAGATGTCAGCAGTTTGGAAGAAATTCAGGGAAGAGCAACAAGAATGCTGGAGAGGCTGAAGGGATTGATTTATGAAGGAAAGAAGATGAAAAGAAATGCATGAAACTTGGCTAAATGATGTCTAAGTGGGAGATATGATTATCTGCAAGTATTTGAAGAACATAATGGACAAGAATCCCTTAGGGTGGTCTGAGGAGGTAGAAGTAAAGCTAATAATGTGAAATAAAGCAAAATGTAACTTCTCTATTGAGAGATGTTATTTAGCAGAAATTTCTTGCACTGCCAGATTATCTTTGCAGAGGAAGAAGATGGAGTTCCATTTTGAGAATACTCATGTGTAGTTTGCCTGGATATTTGCTAGTGCCTGTGTCAGGGTAAAATGGACAGGCGGTAGGGTGGTGGAAAGTAGAAGGACAGTGTATTTTTCATGTTGTTTCTGTTGGTTTTGTTCAGGCTTGCTTTTATTGCTTGAATGACAAGGTATAACCTACTTTCTAGACTGTTTGCAGCAGCATCTACTTTAAAAAAAGTATTTGCTGGCAGATCTGTTACTCTGTAGGGCTCAGTTGTGGAGCTGTTTGTGTTTTAACTAAGGAAAAAGTTTCAAGACGTGTTAATTGACAGGATGACGCTTACTTTCCAGACTGGTTGTATGATCAAATACATAAAAAAGGGGACATAATCTCTAAACTCACAAGACAGTTTTTCTTAGTTTAACAAGCTGCTTAAGAAACAAACAGGATTTGAAAGGCTATTTAAACTACACCGCTTTGTAAGTTATGCTAATGTGTGTGTATGAGGGAGCCAGCTACTGATGAAGTGCTTCTTGCTGAGGTGGTGATATGTGGCAGCTGTTTTAGTGGTAAGTGGGAACGGTGCATCATATAGTCAAGGTAAATGAATGAAAAGTGCTGTTCACTTTTGAAATCAAGAGCAAGTTGGGCGGGCAGGAAGTGTACATTTAAGTGTCTTATTCTAAAGAAGACAAAAGCTAACAATGACAGTCTTTGGAAAATACTTATTTCAACATATGCTGCACCTAGGAATGTCATGCCAGTTGATAAGAAATTCAGAGGAAAGTTCAGTGAATCGTTTGAATAACTTAGTGCTAATTGTGGATTTTGTTTAACTGTCACCCAAGAATTGACCCTGTAAAATTCTGCTTGGTTTGCAAAATCATGATCTGTTGATGTGTCTTATGACATCTTGTAAAAGATTGGCTCTAGATATGCCCTTTTCATTGGTTTTGACACGTTGCATTTGTCTTGTGCTTGATTACTGTAAAATGTAGTGACTTTTTAAATCTAATTGGAGCACGTGTGGTATCTCAGCTGCAGTTCACTTTCCTTTCTGTCTTTACTGTCTAGTTGCTAGTAAAGCATTTGTCCTTTCGGAGCCACTGCGGAGTGTTTGACTGCAATACTTCTCTTTTTGACTCGACACAGTAAAAATCGCTGTATGTGAGATGAGTTAAAAGCTACCTTATTTCTTAATGTGAAAGAAGCAGTGCATATCTAACACTCATAACAGCTGAACACATTTCTAAATTGAATAAATTTAAATGTAATAAAAGGCACACTTTTCATAAGAGGAGATGCAAATGAGAATATTAAAATATAAACTTTTTACTTTGTTCTTTTTACCTGTACAGGATAACAGTAGTTTTAAGTTACCTACAACAGGTGAAGACAAACTTGTTTATGATCTTGTCTTTTGTTGCCAGTAACTTTTTGCCTTGCATTTGTAAGTGTTTATTGCGTGTGAGAGACCAAGTCTGTTTTCATTGTTTCCACTGCTTGTTGTGGTAGAGAGGGGTTGAATGCACTGTCAAAGTCTGTTCTGAAGTAATAGCATGGATGTGCTCCCTAGTTCAGGGGACACAATGCCTCTGGGATCCTACAGTGTTGGTATAAGATGACATAAGATGGTAAGAATTAACCAGTGTGCCTTTTTCTTGATAATCCCTTGTATTCTCATTTGTGAAATTAAGGATAAAAATACTGAATATGTGTCTCCCGCCTAAAGTATTGTGAAGATGGTGTGTCTTTGGTGTTTTTACTTTTTTCATTGGATGG